AAGGGGAAGTGGGAGGGCTAGGGGAAAGGAAAGAAGGGAATGGAATTAATATGAGAAAATGAAAAAATGGAAACAAAGTCTTTGTAAATAGCGAGAGATGGAGGAACTGAAGGGAAGGCAGGGGAAGGGGAAAAATAAGAACGAAGAGAGATCATGTAAAGGTGCAAAAAAAAGAAGAAAAAGATCGCTCTTGCTGCTGTGTGCAGAAGATCCACAGGGGACACAAACAGAAGCTAGGAGACTGCAAAAATAAGGTAACTGCTTAGACCAGGTGCCAGTAGTAGAGGGCAGGATTTGCTGGGCCAGTCTGTCAAGAAAAAGAGCAGCCAGCAGGACACAGGAGCAAGTTACCGAGAAGAGATAAGACAGCAGGAGAAGTGCATGCTTACAGGGAGGAGGAGGAGAAACAGGAGTTCAGCTTCAGACATGGTTACTCTGAGATACCTATTAGGTGCTACAATGTTCTCTCTAAAACTCATGTTGCAATTTAATTGCATTTGTAATAGTATTAAAAGGTGAAAAGCTGGGTGTGGTGAAACATGCCTGTAATGCTAGAACTCTGGGAGGCTGAGGCCAGAGGAGCACAAGTTCAAACCAGGCCTTGGCAACTTAGGGAGAGCCTATTGCAACCAAAGAAAAGGGGGTGGGGAGGTTAAGTCCTTAAAAGGTGATTAAGCCACGAGGGTCTGTCCTCAAGAATGCATTAATGCCATTATCTTAGGCATGGGCTCCTGAAAAAAAAGTTCAGCTCCTACCTTTCTTTTACTTTCTGTTTCACAAAAGCATACCTGCCCTTTCATTACATTGTGATACAGTAAGAAAGTCGTCACAAGACACACCCCCTCAATGTTGGACTGCTCAGCCTCCACAACCATGAGCCAAATAAACTTCTTTCCATAATTTATTGAGTTCATAACACTTTTATAGCAACAGCAAACACCCCAAGACAGACATCCTAGCTGTAAACCTGTTAATTAAGGATCTGCATATTCACTTAGGTGGTCATGCTGAACACACAAATCTGGGAGTCATCGGTAGAGAGATGGTTTTTAAAGAGGAAAGTAGATGAGATCCCAAGGAATGAAATGGAACCGAGCCTTGCAGCTGTTCCACTGGTTAGAACTTTGAAGATGAGAAATTAGCAAGACAGGCCAAGAAGGAGCAGCCAGGCAGCAAGAGGAAAACCTGGAAGTGTGCTATCATGAGGGCTAGAATTCATCACTGAATTTAGCAACGTGGCAGTCATCGGAGACCGGCAGAAACAGATTTTACATAGTGATCAGAACAAAAGCTCATCAAGAAAGATTAAGATGAGAGGAGGCAGTGGCAGTGAATCCGCATAACCTTGCACTGGACCGTGTGCTTTCCAGGCTAGGAGAGAATCCTCCAATCCCCACATCCAGCCTATGAAATAGGCACCATTTACCAACCCACTTACAGATAAGAAACCCGAGGTTCAGAGAAGCTAAACAATGGGTCCAGGGTCAGAATGAATATGGCAAGGCCAAGACCCCAGGCAAGTCTGTCTAATTCCACAGCCTAAGACTGGCAGTGCTATGATGGGGCCTCCCGACCTTGGGAGGAGGTGGCTCTGTCCTCTCCTGTTTACAAGGCTTCACTTCTGAGGTTCTTTAATAAGACCTAGAGCCTCTAAAGCTGGTCTTTTTGGGGAACCCAAAAACAGACTCCAATTTTCCCTGCTGACAGCCTTTGCGAACTTGTCATTGCTCCATAAATTAAGTCACCACTGCACTGACCTGAGTTGGGAAGCACCGATCCTTTGCCGTTCTTCACATCCACGACCCAGGTGGCTTCTTTACCCCCAGGGCCATCCTTCACCTTGAAGGCAAAAATACCACCAATTTTCTTCACAAACTGCTCACCTTCCTGGAAACACAAATAACACTAGAAGTTACATTAAGTCCTCTTCTTTGGCTTTCTCCTCAGACAAATTAATGTTTAAATAGGTATATTATGGGAGCAGCTGGGCCATCGGGCAGTGCCCAAGCTCCCTTAGGATCTTTTACCCACGAGACAGGAAGGCAACCAGGCAACGACTTCCACATCTGTCAGAGCTTCTTTTCAAATGGCTTTCTGGACACTACTAGTAGAAGGAAAGGAAAGATGGGGGTGGTATGGCAGCATTTTCTGCTAAAACAGCCTTCATTTGTCTCAGGGAGTTGGGACAGATTCACTCTGATCTCTCCAAATGTAGGAGGAATTCCTAACTCATCCCTTCGTTTTGCACTCCAATGTTTAGAACTTTGGAGATGAGAAATTGGCAAAATAAATTATATTCATTTTTGGTTCTCCACAATCAGAACTTACAGACAAGTGGTTCTGAGATCAAATTTTTTTAGTTGGGGTGGGGTGTCAAGTTGTTTTCTATATTAATAAAAAGAATTATACACGGAATACACTATCTGCCACTCACGTCTGGGTATCAGGGGTGAGACTGGCCTAATACAAAAAGCATAACCTGAATCATGCCTGCAGGCCGTTTCCCTCTTCCCTCCCTGCCTCTTTTCTTTCGTCCTTCCCTCAGCTTCATCTTTCCTCCCTGAAACATTTACTAAGCTGGACACTGTTCTAGGCACCAAGGATTTGGAAGCAGGACTCAGAAAAGTAAATGACAGCAATGCTCTGCAACCACTAGGACAATATACCATGGGCACAGGCTCTGTGGGAGCAGTTGGCATGGCGAACAATGAAAGGGCAACAGCAGTTCACACATCTTGTTTAAAAAAACCAAAAGCAGCACAGTGATTTTAATAAAATGATTTTTCTCTAGAGAAGAAGCACATTACACAGTGGAGTGGAAAACATTGATAAGGAAAAATATAAATTATTCAATTTTCATAATTTTATCAAAGAAAATCGTATTTGGTATAGATCCCATCTTTTTTCTCTGTATGTATATTTTAAACATGGGATCCTATTATTTTATAATCTACTTTTCTGTTTCATGTAATTATGTGCATTACTATGTCACTATCCTTCCATCCATTTCCCCTTTTAGTTAGTATGTTTGCTATACATAATAAACATGTTCATCGTGGGAAATGGCACTTGTACACGTTCAATCTTGATTCTTTTTACTTCCCTTTCCTCTCATCTACCCAGATCCCCTTCCCATCTCCACGGAGTCTGCCTTCCTGTTTCTCAACATCTATATTTTATTTCACTCTTTAAAATTATTTCTAGCTTGGGTTTCTCATATAAGAGAAACCATATGATATTTAAGCTTTTGAGTCCGATTTATTTCACTTAGCATTATAGTCTCAAGGTACATCCATTTTCCCATGAATGACTCAAATTTATCCTTCCTTACGGCTGAGTAGTACTCCATCGTGTATATAAACCATATTTTCTTTACTTATCTGCTAATGGAGATATAGGCCCCTTCCAATATTTAGCTAACATGAGCTGTGCTGCTATAAACATGTATGCATTTACCACTGTAACATATCTTTAGCTCTTTGGGAAGATACCCAGAAATACGATAGCTGTGTTGAATGGAATTCCTATTTTTAGTTTTTTGAGGAATCTCTGTACTGATTTCCCAAAGTGGCTGCACTAGTGGACTAGTGAGTTCCTTTTTCCCCACAACTTCTCTAGCATTTGCTGGGTTTTTTTGAGTTCTTGATAACCATTTTTTTTTCTGTAGTAAGATGGAATCTCAGTGTTGTTTCTATTTCCAGTTTTTTAGTGGCCAAAGATGTTGAACATTTTTTAATGTATTTACTGACCAATTGAACTTCTTCTGAGAAGTGTCTGTTCATTTCAATTCCCCATTTTGGGGGTTTTTTTGTTTTGTTTTGTTTTGTTTTTTTGTATCGGGGATCAAACTCAGGACCTTGTGCTTATGAGGCAGGCACTGTGCCACTGAGCTAAATCCCCGGCCCAAATTCCCCATTTTTGGATGGCACTTTTTATTGTGTGTGGGGGGGTGTCTATGAGTTCTTTGTATCTTCTGGATATGAGTCCTCTGTCCAAGGAGTAGCTGGCAAAAATTTTTGTCTCTTCACTCTTTTGGTTGTTTCCTTTGCTGTGCAGAAACTCTTTAATTTGATATAGTCCCACTTGTTGACTCATATTATCTCTCATGTAACTGGGGTTCAGTTAAGAAAGTCCTTGCCTATATTTTCTAGTTTTACCTATTTTATCTTCCAGCAGATTAAGTGTTCCTGTTTTAGTATCTAGGTCTTGGATCCATTTTGATTTTATTTTAGAACAGGATGAGAAATAGGGCTCTATATTCATTCTACATGTAGGTAACCAGTTTTTCCAGAACCATTTGTTTAAGATCCTATCTTTCAATTCTGTTCCATTGATCTACCTGTCTGTTTTTGTACCAGTACCATGCTGGGGTTTTATTTTTTTTTAATCATCTTCCACATAATTTTAAATGGCCACATATAAAATTATAAAAGGGTACTATATTTTACTTAATCAACACCCTTTTGCTTGTTACTTAGTCTAATTCTATCTTCAGGCTTGTGTTACAATGCTCTGAATAACATTCTTATATCTTCATATTTTCACATAGCCTCATTTATTTAAAAGAAAATTCCTAAAAATAAACTTTGCTAGTTAAGAACAGTGAACCTGGGAATCAGCATAGCTTTGAGTTCCTATACTGCCAAATGCTTCTAATAACCCCAGACAAGTTATTAAAATGCTGTGTCTTAGTTTTTTTTAATCAGTTAAATAGAAATAAAACTACCCTCATAAAGTTCTATGAGAATTAAATTATGTAAATACCCATAACGCAGAGTAATTTGTTCAATGAATGTTAGTATTTTGTTTTGCTGTTTTATTCTATGATCTGCCTGTTAATCCTGTGCTAATATAATAGCTTTATAATGTACTTCACTCTGCACAGCAAAGCCCCATCATAATTCCTCTCTTTCAAATACTCTTGGCTATTTTTGGATTTTTTTGTTTGTTTTTTTGAGACAGGGTCTCACTTATTGCAGTTCATGCTGGCCTTGAACTCACACTGATCCTCCTGCCTCAGCCTCCCAAGTGCTGGGATTATAGCCCTGTGCCACCTTACCTGGCTGTTCTTGGATTTGAGGAAACAAATTTTCTTCTTTACGTATTTGTAATTGTTTTATTAGATTTTTTTCCCCAAAATGCTGCTGAATTTAGGATGGAATTACACAGAATATATGCATCTGTTTGGAGCAGAGGTATTATCATCACAATGTTAAGTCTTTAACACTGTCCTTTGATGTCCCTTAGAAAAATGTGATTTTCCCCCATTTTAGGATTTTGTACATCTCTTGCTACATTTATTCTTAGGTATTTTATATCACTCTTGCTAATAATTAATTTTTTCATTATATTTTATGGCTAGGTTATTGCAAATATATAGAAATATAGTAAGCTTTTATATTTACTTTGGAACTGGCTACTTTTTGAGTTCTTTTATTTCTAGCGTATTTTACTTCATTCTTTCTTTATCTTAGCTTTGCATCTCAGCAATAATTTATATGCAAGATTCTCCCTTTTTTTTTGGTACCGGGGATCGAACTTGGGTCCTTGCGCTTGCGCAGGTGACGAAACCACTGAGCTAAATCCCCGGCCCCAATATTCACTGCTTTAACAAAGGCCAAAGCTTTTACTATATTCAGGCACTGAAATAAGTACCTAAAACACTCAAATAATTGTTTCTTCTGAGAATTTACTGACACAAGATACTAACCATGTGCTCCTCCACACACCCAAAAGCAACAGACCTAAGCAACCATGGTCTGAAACCTCTTCCTTCTTTTAAGTTGAATTATTTAAGGTATTTTGTCACAGCAGTGGAAAACAAACACACCATCCTTTCTCACTAGCTTCTGGCAACCACAAATCTACTTCCTGCCTCTACTGATTTGCTTAATCTGGATATTTCATATAAATGGAACCACATAGGATGTGGCTTTTTGTGGCTGACTTCTTTCACCTAGAACAATGCTTCCAAGAGCCATGCAAGCTGAAGTGTATACTGAGGGGTACATCACTCATTTTGCTAGCCAGTTATTCCTTTGTATGGATGGAGCACATTTTGTTGATCTACCATCAGGTGATGGTTGTTTCTACTTTTGGTTGTTATAAGTAATCCTGCTATCAACATTTGTGAGCAAGATTTTGGGTGGACATAGACTCTAATTAGGTATGTTTCTAGAAGTGGAATTGCTGGGTCATATGATGCTATTTAACTTTTTGAGAAATTACCAAACTTTTCTAAAGTGGGTATACTATGTAACAATCTGTGGTGGTCCATGCCTGTAATCCCAGCACTTGGGAGGGTGAGGCAGGAGGATTGCCATGAGTTTGAGGCCAGCCTGGGCTACGTAGTGAGTTCAAGGCCAACCTGAACTATATAGCAAGACCCTGTCTCCAAACAAACAAATGAACAAACAAAAAGCAACCAATCTCAAAAGCAATGAGTGAAGGCTCCAATTTCTCCATATCCCTCACTGTCAACATTTACTATCTTTTAAATTTAGTCATCCTACTGGGTACATCAATTTTTTTCTTATACACAAGTATCACCTCAAACCACCTACCTGAAATCAACCAAGTATCTTAAGACAAAGCAGTTGTTCTAAAAACATTCAGTCCAGGTGCATCTTCTACCTGTGGATGTTCTGAAATTAACTACGTATTTTTTATTTGTTTTATTTATTTATTTTGGGGGCACAGTACTGGGGATTGAACTTGGGGCCTTCACACTGAGCTATACCTCTAGCCCTCTAAGCTACATCCCCAGCCCTCTATATTTCCCAGGCTGGATTTGAATTTGTGATCCCCCCACCTCAGCCTCCCAGAGTGCTCGATTCGCAGGCATTTGCTACCACATTGGGCCCCAAATTTTCTAGTTAAACACCAGTATGACTGCCAGGTTTTTAAATGCAAAAGAAATCATCTTATTTTGGTTTTCCTTAAAAAAGCTCAAATTATTTTCAGTTGACTTTAGGAAAAATTATAAACAACAATTTGGGGGAAGACTTTAAAGTTTTCAAATACTTTTATACATGTAATTCCTTTAATCTTCATAAAGTCCCATAAGCAACTGGGGAGCCATTAACATCACCTTATTAAGGAGAAAAGGCAACAGAGGCTTGGAGAGGTTAAGGACCTTTAGACCGGTTAGGAGTGTAGCTCAGTGGTAGAACACTTGCCTCACTCTCACGTGTGCAAGGCCAATCCCCAGAACCACAAACCAAAACAAAAGCTTGAGACTATCCTCTATACTTCTGCCTATCAGGCCACCTAACATAACCCACTGCACACTAATGTAACACATCTAATACTCTCAGACCTGAATTTCATACACAGTCAACAGGATGAAGTCTGTCTTCACATAGCATTCAAGACTCTTCATGATCTAAAAGATACTTGTCTGTTCTTATCTCTAGCCATCTTCTCAGGCTTTATGCTCCAATAATACTAATCATTTTGAATAGATGCGCCATGTTTTCTTTTGGCTCCATGTCCTCACCCAGCACACTCACCTCCTCTTCTTGTCCACTCCCACCCCAAGCTCATCACCCAAGTCTCAGCTCACAGGCTAATTCTCCTGCACAGGTACTCTCAAGGCCCTGGACATGTACCCATGTTTCTTGTTCAAGAAGCTACTTTTCTCTGGAAAAATTTTTCCAGATCTCTCTTACCACGCAATTCCATGAGGAGCAGAGATTTACGGCTAATAAGCAGCAAAACCCAAACTCAGTCCCAGCTTGGTTTACTCCCAAATTCAATGCTCTTTCCATCTGACTATACCATACCACAACTGTAGATTACATCAATACTTCAAACCGGAGTGTATCCACAGAACAGTATCTGCTACCACAGAAGGAGTTAAAAGGAAGTTCAAAGTCTCCTCCACATTCCTCAAAATCTTTTCTCTCTGAGGTTCTATGCAGACAACCCAGGGTGATGGGTTAATAAGGATGGTGTGCTAGGCCACCCAGGAGCCAGGGTCCTCGGGCCCAGCACCACATGGATGACTCTTTCCAGGTGTATCCATAATATCTGCTTGCAAAATGCCTCAGTAATACAGCTATGAGCAGGCACCAAGTCAGAGCAGAAGAACACCAGCAAACATTCAGAAACCCCATCTGTGCACTTGAAGAGAAACTCCTGCAATCTTTCACTTATCCTCCCACCTACTTAAGAAAGATGCAGATTAATTTTCACTTATTACTTCTGAGAACCAATTGGTCCTCTTACAAAATCTCATCCACTGGTGAATAAAACGTGTTCACTTCAAGTTGGCATGAGAGTGGGTAAGGAAATTCGTGAGGAGGAGACAGAGTTAAAAGGGAAAACAAAATGGAGTTGTGAAACTGGAGATCATGAATACTAAGAAAGTCCTAAGTGCCTCCTTATGGAAGAAAAGTACTTCTTTCTGAGTAGGCAAAAAGGTCAAGGAGTAGGTCCTGCCGTAAACTTAGTAGGGACAAAAACTTAAGACAGATTTCAAAGAAGGGCAATGGAGTACTGCTAACAAAGACAAAAGTGTAAATAAAATCTCTTGCCAGGCTGCCTTTGCTAATGCAGAAAATGTATGAATTGACCAAAGAATCCAAGATTTTCTAGTGCTGCAAACACTGAGAAAACTGACAATCGTGGGAAGGAGAAAAGAAACAAGGGTATAAGGTTGGTGGGGTAAGCTTATAGAGGAGAAAAGAATTAAAAATGGGAGCAGGGAGAAAAGGGCATACATATGCAAAACTGAAAGCATGCTGCAAAATAAAAACAGCAATGAATTATTCAATGACTGCCCTATAGTCATACCCCAGATAATCTCTATACAGACTAAGGTTGAAAAAAGTAAAAAAAAAAAAAAATTCAAGCTCAGCCTTTCTAGTGGGGAGTCTGGCAAACTGTATTAAAATGCAAAATGGCCAGGGATTTAGCTCAGTGGTTTCGCTTCCTGTGCACAAGCACAAGGACCTGAGTTCGATCCCCCGTACCCACCCCCCCCAAAAAAGAAAAAAAAAAAGCAAAATGTACATATCTAACAACACAAAAATTCTTTTCTATTCTCTAAGCTAAGTTGATCCTAGCATAAGTACTCAAATGCAAAAGGAAATTTATTGCAGCATTTACAAGCAAAATATTCGGGATAGGGAGTTAGTTAAATAAATTATGACATATTTGTGTAATGCATAGCATGCACTGAAAAGGGATGGTAGGGATTTATATTTACAGCCATGGAATGCACTGTGAAGAGCAAACAGCAGTGGTTAAGACAGGTAGCGTCATGCAGGCATGTATCTGCAAGGTGGCAGCGTGACAGTCCCGTGGCCTGGGCCAGCGCTGCCCTGCCCCCACACCTTAGCCTGGCCTTGCAGATGCTTGTGACAATCCTGAAAGTGCTGCCCTTTCACAAGGACACATCTCCGGCTACCATCCATGGTGTAATTACCTTTGTGCTAAGAAGTTCCACCATAGGGAATTAGGAAATAGGCCCAATGTTTGCTTTTCACTCTCTGACTCTTTAGGGGCGTGAAAGACACAGTGTAAATGCTCTGAATCCTTTTGTTTATTTTAGCACATTTTGATCATTTTATCAAATAGGTAATCTGAACTGTGAGAAATGCCATAATTCTGCCTTGGTCTTAAATCTAATTGAAACAATGAAGTAAATAATTTTGTTTAGGATAGTAATTCCCTTTTTGGAGTTACTGTTCGATTGCTTTAGTGTGATCATTATCTATCAAGAACCAATTCTTATACATAAAAACAATGTGCATATAGAGTGTAATAAAAAAACTCAACATGTATATGACCCGAGTTACATAAAACTGTAAATTTAGGTACAGAAAGAGATGACAGAACGTAGGTTCACCATTGTTAACATTTTAGTGAACTCTGGTAGAATGCAGGAATATTTAAAATTTTATATGTTTCTGTACAGTGTAAAATTTATTTAATTACCATTATATTTTACCATAACAAAATAAATTAAAATCTCCTTTTAAAAAAATCAAATACAAATGATTCCTTTTTTAAAAATGTTGGAATCGAGACATTTAAAATATTATTCTTTTTTTTTTTTGGTACCGGGGATTGAACTCGGGTCCTTATGCTTTCGAGGCAGGCAGTGGAACCACTGAGCTAATCCCCGGCCCTAAAATATTATTCTTTAGAATGATTCTAAATAAAATCTTTTTAATTTGGGAGGAAATGAGAACCCCTTTACATACAAACTTTGTCCATAATGAATCTCTCTCTGGCAAACGGGACAAAGAATGACAATTTTACACAATATTTATTATGGCTGTCTAACTCAAATCTGGAGATCTGTGTGTATTCCTTAAGTGTATTCTTATTAATAGACACTCAGAAATCTAAAACACACTCAGTACTTGACAACATGGCATAAATTTTCAACTTGTGTGACTACATGGCAGTAGTTGAAACCTATGTGTGCTTTCTCTGGCCTAGGGTCTTCCCCCAGTATTTTATACAAATCTCACCTCTTCGAGCTTCTTCTCAATCTCCTTGAAGACAAGGTTTGCCTTAAATCCATCCCCAGCAGAGCTGGTTAGAGCAGCCTCAATTTGATTCATCCTGAAAGAAGTGGGGGAAAGGATCAACTTCAAGTCAGCGTGTCACAGATACTACGTTTTCTGATTTTTAAACAGTGTTTTCAAGGGTCCTAAAAATAGAGATGTAGCAACTTTTATCTAAAATCTTTAGCAAGCATATAATACAAGCATTTCTCCCCAATTTTTCACCAAATACTGAGTGCTCATTAGGTGTTAAGTGTTCTTGAAAACAGAGTTAATCAAAGAAGCTACCTTCATGAGACTTATGAGGTATAATTGAAAAATATGGGGAATTTAAAAAAAATTAATAAAAGACACTTTGCCATTAATCCTCTTCAAAATACTTCCCTTCACTTTGAACACACTTATCCTATTATTCTTGCCACTGTCTCAAGCAGTTCTGGAAGTCCTCTTTCATGTCCTTATTTGCACTGTTGCGGCTGTGTCAATGTTCTGAACAAATTCAGATGTTTACCTTTCATGGTCGTTTTGACTTTGGGGAAGAGCCATAAGTCACTGGTACCAGAGCCAGTGAATGGGGTGGATGAGGACACTCCGTCATTTTTCTAGGAGCCTGCCTTTCCACTGGATGGCATCAGGAGAATCATTCACAGCATTTTCAATCACACTTTGTAAAAGAAACTCACAAAAAAATGATGCGATGAGTATCTTTGAAGTGAGGGGATATTTTCTGAGGGGAATTAATGGCAATGTGTCCTTTACTGTAATAAAGTTTATTTAAACGTTCACTGTATATTATGATCATACCTCATATATCCTAGCAGAGACAATAACTAAAAATAAAGAATACAGTTACTACAGAGAAAATAAACAAGATAAAGAGACAGAATATTTTATGTGTGTTAGATATGCTGTTTGATTGACTGATTGATGGGTGCTGGGGACTGCAGGGCTTCCTGCACGGTATGCAAGTGCTCTCCCAGGGTGCTACACCCCAGCCCTCTCATCCTATTTTAGACAGTGTGACCCTGGAAGGCCTCTCTGGGGAGGTGATATTTAAGTTAGTCTCAAACTATGTAAATGAGGGAGGCCTACAAAGATTTAGGCAGGGAAATAATTCTAGCCTGAAAACCCCTAGAAATAAAGGATTTAAGGTAGAAACTTAGCTTGGTAGTTAAAGGAAATATAAGGCCAGTTTGGCTGGAACAGAGAAGAAAGTCAGGTCAGAGAAACATATAGGGCAACTGGTGAGGGCCTTTATGATGATGCTCAGAAGTTTCAGTTTTAAGGGAGGGAGAGGCACCTCAATGGTAGAGCCCTTGCTTAAAAAACACACGTGGCCCTGGGACCTCAGCACCAAAATCACTCGCAGAATAGTTTCTGGTTTAAGTATAATGAGAAGAACAGTAGAGCATACTCCAATTTACATATTTCACAAAATCAATCTGGCTGCCAGCTGGAAATTGGGGAGAAAGGGAGGTCAGCTAAGAGGCTATTGCAGCAGTCTGCAAGAGATGATGATAAGCAAAACAGGGCTATAAGGGAGTGGGAAGCAAGCAGAATGGACTTGAGATAGACCTTTACCTGCAACAGGAGATGGGAATTTATCAAGTTCTTTGGTCGTTATAAAACAACCACAAATAAGCACTGATAAGTGGCCTGATGTGGCAGAAGGAACACAGCCCTCACACACCACAAAGGTGCGGGCTCTGAGCTTTGTGGTGTGGTTTCCTCCATTCACAGGGGATGTAATTCTCAGCAGGTTGTTTCATCTGTGTGCATAGTTGCTTTATCTGAGGGCAGAGGTGGGGAGTGCCCACGACTTTGCACAAGTAACCAAGATCTGTGTGAAGGCACCCTGCAGAGTGCAGGGCCCATGGGTGTCAGGTGTGCCCAAAAACCCCAGGGGTCTGAGAAGAGGAGGGTCTCTAGACTGCTAGGCAGCTCTTCTGACCTCCCCCACACAATCCACTTCTCCCTTTCTATTCCTTTTCCACTTTGTATCACTGCAGAAGCATCTAGTGATTGCCTGCTACACTGCCGGCTGCCCCTGGGGATACAGTCAGACCTAGCCCCTCGCTGGGTTTCCATTCTTCCACTGGAGAAGAAAAAGAAGTGCATACACACAATAATGGCAGATTGCAGCCAGTGTTGGGGTATAAATAACAAGAAACTATGTAGGACAGTCATGGAATGATTTCTTGAGCAGGTGAATTTAGAGCAAGAAAGGGAGCTAGCTGTTCAAAGAAGAAACTGCCAAGATCTGAGGGAGAAAAGTGCTTGGTAGATCAAAAGAAAGCAAAAGAAGACAAGGATCATTAGAACACAGTTGGTGGGAGAACGACATGAAATGAAACTGGAGAACAGGCAGGAGGGACCAGACCATGCAGGCAGGCCAAGTAAGGAATCAATCTGGGAAGGTACAGAAATGGTAACAGGGAAAAAGTTTGATTTGCAGTTATTCTTATGACAGTGTACAGAACGATCTGGGGAGGAGCCACAGGAGAGGGGACTTAGTTCTGAGGCTGCTGGAGTGGTCTAGATAGAGAGAGGAAGTGGATTCAAAATAGAAACAGAATCCTCAGGCTTTGTTGCTGGGAGTGAGGGAGATGAAAAGAGATGAAGAAACAGCAAGGAGGATTCAGATATTTGTGAGTAACGAGGGATGGCAATGCTATTTACTGTGACAGGAAGAATGCAGTGGGAGTAGAGGGGACCAGCATTCTGAGTCAGGCAGAGTCAGCACAAGATGTGTGTGACAAGAAGGTAGCTGGATGTGAGAGTCTGGAGCTCAAAGCAGAGGTCTAATTGGAGAGGAAATGGAGTAATCAGCATAATGAAAGCACATAAATCCCCAGGAATGGACTATATGGGAATTACAGCAAAAGGATGGCCCAGAACAATGCCCTTTGGAACCCTGTTAGTTAGAGGTCTGAGACAGAAGGGGAAGCTGCTGCCAGTGAGGACTCAGGCAGAAATTCAGGGAAGCACACTGTCATAGAAGCACAGAGAGAAGAAAGTGCAGGAGCAAGGTGTAAGCTATGTCAAATGCTGCCAAGAAGTCAAGCACCTACTGGATTTGGCAATGCTGAAGATTATAGATAACCTTGACAAAGGCAGTGTCAAGTGCTGGAGTGTGGAAATCAACTACAGTGAACTAAAGAGAGAACAGGGAGGGGAAAGAGAGACAGTGCGGCCCCTCTGAGACATTCCTTTAGAGGAAGGGTGAAATAGTGTGGTCTGGGGGAGGGGGATGCTGGTAGCAAGGAAGTTTATTTGGGTTTTTTGGAATGGGATAAAAATGGCATCTTTGAGTAATCTTTTTAAGAAATGTAGCTCTCCTTCTGGATTGGGTATACAGAGATCTTTAACTTCTAAAACTTTTCTACTTTTGTAATTACGTTAAAACTTATATATTTATATATATATATATAAATAACAAATATAAAATTTGCCATCCTAGCCATTTTAAGGATACAGTTGAATTGTAGTAAATATATTCACCACGTTGTGCAACCATTACCAACATCCATCTCTATAACCATTTTCATCTTGTAAAACTGAAACTCTGTATCCATTAAACAATAACTTCCTGCCCACCCCACCCCTGGCAATCACCATTCTGCTTGTCTCTATGATTGTGTCTACTCTGATTATGTCCATAAAAATGGAACCATACAGTATTTGTCTTTTTGTGACTTGCTTATATCACTTAATATAATGTCCTCGAGGTTCACTCATCATGTTGCACATGTCAGAATTTTAAGGAGGGTTTGGTTTGGTTTGAAGATTAATGTATCAGAGCATGTACGCCTGATGATGGTAATGAGCCAGGAAAAGAGTCGGAAGGAGAGAAGTCTTAAGAAGATGACAGGGCACAGGATCTAAGACAAGGAGATCCAGGAAAGAAAGGATCAGACAGATGCAAATCTATCAGTTTTGAGAGCGATGATATGGGAACTTGGGTTTAATGACTTCTATTTTCTCACAAAGCATAAGGCAAAGAAATCAACAGAGACAGAGCAAAAGGGTGGGTATGGAAAGTCCAAAAGGCTGAACAGTGAGCCTGCTAGAGGAATCACATTAACATGGACCAGGAATGGAACTGAAGTAGTACGGCAGCTCTGGCGCTGGAACACTCCTGTCCTGGCAAACTCTGTTCATCCTTCAAAACTCAGTCCAGAAAACTCTTCTCAAGATCCACTTCTCAAGATCAGATACCATATTTTAACAAGAATACCAAAATACTTTGTATCCACAGTTTCCAATTCACAACAGGCATTTAGTCTATAGTGACTGACAAACTTGCATTTAATTCTCCCTTCCTAAATCCTGATTTCTCCCTTTCCCATTCAGAGCAGAATCATCTGTAGAACAGCATCTTTTTAGTCAAAAGCCTGAATGAGTGATCTAAAACCAGGTAGTCACAACAAGGACTACTCTACAAACCAATTCCGTTCTATTAATGATCCTATTTTAAACTTTCTCATCTTTGTGCCCTTCTCCTAACTTGCCACTTCTTAAATGTATAAGATAAAGTAATAATTAATACTAGTAGCACTTTTTGGTGTACAAAATATCTTGATCTCTTATGTCCCAAAGGTCCCAGTGTCCTGATGTGTCCCCAATGGTCACAGATATCTCTTTACCTTACTTGCTTTGAAAAGCTCATAAAGTTCTTGATTAACCAATTTTTCATCTGTGTTAGGAAAAAAGTACGTATAAAGCGCTATCAATATTCTCTGAAAATCCTTCCTTACAATTTACTTTACTTCATGTGTGCCCTGATCAAGGGGATACTGAACATACCGATTTAAATTCAAAAAAAGAGAGTATTCATAATCACAAAAAGATATTTCTCATGATTTCTTTTTCGTTCTGTTTTGCTTTGTTTTTCAAACAAGGTCTCACTATGTTGCCCAGGGTGGCCTCAAACTTCTGGATTCCAGTGATTCTCCTGCTATAGCCTTCTAAGTGCTAGGATTATCTGCACATGCTACTATACCTGGGTACTCGTGATTTCTTTATAAACAAAGTTCTTTCCAGCCAAGAACGGTGGCA